TCTCTCTCTCTCTCTCTCTCTTTCCAGCTCTCACTCTCCTCTCCTCAGTTCTCCTCTTCCACTGGCTTCCTGCTTGATCTTGTGCTTCCCCTTGCTCATGAGAGAAGTTATTAGTTGAACTAGACAATGGTTTCTGGAGACACTGAATTCTCAGCTGAGGAAATGATAAAAGCTCAGACAACAAGCAGGAAGATTTAGGAAAATGAGGAGCTGCAGTCCCAGCTACATGAGCAAGTCATAACTGGCAGAGTGGTGTAAACTTCTGAACCTCAGTGTTTAAGAAATTGAACATTACAGTCACTCATGTCTCGAACACACTACCCCGCCACACACAAGTGGTGGGCCCCAAGGGTTCTTGGAGGAGGCCCCTGTAGCCTTAATTTCCTCCTACCTGATGTTTGGACTGCACACTCTCCTTCCAGGGCCATCCAAGGCTGGTAGGAAGAGGGAGTTACAGAGACATCAGCAAGCTTGAGCACAGAGAGACCTCCATAGAGCAGCATGCATTGGTGGACAAAGCCTGGGCTTTGGGTTTCGTCTAGATCAAGTCTTGCTGCTCTCTAGCCATGTGGCCTCAGACAGCTGTGGTACCTTGCTGGTCCTCAGTGTCTTTGTAAGTTCAGCAGGAGATAAATTCGTGTCTGTAGGTGTGCTGAGGGTAAAATGAAAGGATCTATGGAAAGTGTCTGAAGACACTTGCTCACAGACATCCTGGATGTGTGATGATCCCTTCCCAACTTGGAGTCAGCAACCCAGAGTGGTGTTATATGACAGGCTGGCATTTAACATCTCTGAGGACCTAGCTGGTCCTCCCGATGGAAGAAGCAGAACCTGTATCTGTCAGAGGTGCAGAATCTTACCAGTCAGTCCCAGCACGTCACATACATCCCAAGAACTGTCTCTCCCAAGATCACAGAGAAGCACGTACACACGTATATGCAACTGCCCATGTACCCACATGGGCTTACAAATCTGTAGCACTCACTGCTTACTGCCTGGCCATGCCCAGGGACATACCACACCCTGCATTGTCACTCTGTCCTCACATGTGAACATACACACTTGCCACTTGTACTAGCATGTAGACACAACACTCATGTGGAAAACTACATCAAGACCCAAGGTCACTTCCCTTCCATTTTTGGCCCATGAGTGAAACACCTTCACCAGCGAATTCCCATTTTTCCCTCCTCTTTCTTCATGAGATGCTGATGAAGGACAAATGAAAAGAGATACAGCCTAAAATGAACAGAGGAGAGCCAGCATCATTTCTTTGGCTACAAGCACCCATGCTCCAAATGTCCCAAAAGACATTTGTCATAGAAAAAAGACAGTGTGTGCTAAACTGAGTAGCTGGATGAAGAAGGACTGATCTAATTCTGTACAGCACCATTATGCAAGTTTAGGACCAATGGGTCAGAGTTTCAGGGCAGTAAAGGTTATGTAAGTTCAATATAGAAGAACTTTAAAATTATTTTAGCTCTCAAAAATATAAACAGCACTGGAGAGATAGCTCAGTGGCACAGCACCTGCCTGGCAATCACAAGGTCCTGAGTTCATTTCCTTCCCATTTCTAACATTCTAGGACATTTCGGACTAATGCACAAAACAAACAAACAAAAGCATATAAACAGCACAGGTGAGAAAATAATGAGCTTCCTGTCTTTAGAAGGATGCAAGGAGAAATCATGTAACTATTTCTCAGAGCTGCCACAGAGGGGATCTTGCCCTGGTTGTGGGTTGGGACTGAGCGAACTCAAAGTCCCCTTCTGTGTGAAGAATCTAGAACTGGACAGTCACTACTTAGCTACATTCCCTGAATGCCCCCTGATGAGGATAATGTTTAAAAGAGCTTCTAGGATAGTGGTTGCCAGCTAGGACCCTCATTTACCCAGGATGATGGACCCACACTGGTTCAGCTAGTGTCCCAGACCTTCCCAAGATATGTGGCATTCCTTGGGTCCTGCTAGCATCTCCTGCCATCAACCTGACCTCAGTGCAGAAGCCCAGAGACTAAATTTGTTTCAGGTGACATTTTGATGAATTTAGATCCAAACTCACTTGGCTTATTGATCCTTGAGAAAAAGTTCATCCTTTAAAGACTACCCAACTGCATACTTAATTCCATGTGCCACACACTGGGTCAATATGAAACACTGCCAAGACAAACATGTAGCTGAAACCTTTATTGAAAGAGGGATGTGGCATTCATCTCTGTCTTCCTCAGAGGTTGGATGGCCATCAGCAAGAAGGGCACAAGCCCTCAGCCGCTCCTTGGCTCGCTTGCACAGGACTCTCAGTGAGCCAGCCCGTTAGCTTCTCTGATCCTTAGCCTTCTGTCTGAGAAGAAGGGAAGTGATACTTCCCTTGCCAGTTGGTGTGGAGTAAAGTCATCACTATGTGTGTAGAGGTGCCAAGCACAGGGTGACTGCTCAGGAAGTATTGGTCACTTGTCCTTTCTTTTACATTCCAACACAGAGGACCTTCCTGGGACTGAGGAATCTTTTGTTCCCCAGTAGATTAAAAAGGCCCTCTCAGTGTGCCCCAGAACAAAGCACCAGGGAAGTCAGGGGATATATGAATAAGCTTATACTTGTGTGTGCACTGCATTCAGACCAGTGGCGGTACCAAGCCATATGCAGGCTGTGGCACGCTGAGTGGCACACTACCCACTAGACCTGGGCTTCAGTGAGAGCATTTTGCACATGGAGATGCCAAGGTCCAGGGATGTCAAAAATTTGTCCAAGCCCATGTGAAATTTCCCATCACTATGCACAAAACAAAAGCTAAATAGATATTGTCTAAAAGAGAAGCTCAGGAAGGCAAGAAGCACTGTCTGGCTGGCTCCACAATATGTGTGACAACCAGAACTGATAGTGAGCTCTCAACAAACGGTGAATGAATGAATGAATGAATCAATCAATCAATAACTCAATGAGGAAAACCTGAATGTCTGGAAGGTTAACACATAAAGCCAACCTGTACCTGAGACTGATTTTTGGCGTATTTTTGTGAAAGGACAATAACAGTAGAGAAGGTGGAAGGTTAGAGCCCTGCAGAGTCCTATTCTCAAGCCACCAGAAAGGCTCTCAGACATGAGCCCTTACCTTGACCCCCAGGGTTCCAAAGGGACATAAAGTGGGGAATCAAATGGCAGTCTGTCATCCATCACACATGAGTACTTACTGTGCAACTACTACATGCCAGGCCCTGTGCTAGGTATTAGAGTCAGAAAATCAATCAAGACATTCTGTACCTCTCAGTTCACAGGGGTGAAGCAAAAAACAAGAAAGCAAGGCCACATCTGGCAGAAGTCTCGTACCAAAGGTTTGCGCAGTCAGCTTCTGTATCCGTGGGTTCCTCATTCACAACCAACTGCAGATTGAAAATTTGAGAGGAAAATGGCATCAGAACTGAACACATTCAGACATTTCTTTCTTGTCCTTCCATAAATAATGCAGCATAGTGACTATTTACATTGTGTTAGGCATTATAAGTAATCTACAGATGATTTAAAGTACATGGGAGGATTGCACAGGTTCTATGCAAATACTGCAGCATTTTATATAAGGGACTTGGGGCATCTGAGGATTTTGGTGTCTGTTGGATGGGGAGTCCTGGAACCTGTCCCCAGTGACACCAAGGGATGACCTGATGAGGCAATGGGGGCAGATGTTGCCAGAGGAGGGGGTGCCCACCCATCTGCATGGATGGGTAAGGAAGCTATATGCAGAGGGAGTTTTAGGTGAGTGTCTCGAAGTCTGAGTGTAATGGGAGAGAAGAGATGTCACAAGCATCCCTGATAGAAGGAAGAGTAAGGATAGGGGTATAGAGCTGGAATTAATAGGACACATTCTCAGAGCAATGTGCAGGACTAGCCCTACTGAGTTCAAGAAACAGACTAGGGAAGTAGGTTGGGTGGCCATCTCTACCGTTCAGGGCACTCACAGGCCACGAACAAGGTCCCTTTGCCCCGGGTGACTCTGGGAAGATCCTTTCTCTTCTCTGAGCCTTGTTTTCTCCTCTGCACAAAGTGGGATGGGATGACTTCTGAGGTTCTTTCCCATTTCTAACATTCTAGGACATTTCGAACTAATGCCCAAGATCAAATATGTACACAGGACCAGAAGCATAAGAAAACACACAGAAATGTGGGTTAATCTAGTGCAAATATCATAAAATCAGAATGGGGTGGCTATGTCTCAGAAACACCCAGAATCATCCCCTGCCTTCCAGCCCTCATCGTTCCTGCCCCAGGCCTCACTGAAGAAATCCCAGGATCCCCTGGGAAATGTCTCTCTAGGAGGGCTTCTGGGCCAGGGAGCACCAAACACCCAGGAAAGTATTACTTGTTAGAAAGTTCTTGACATTCTCCCCATGGCCTTCGGTTCCTTGGTCAGCTTTGTCACTGAGTCACAGCCATCAAAGAAGGGGCGGTCTTAGGACCCAACAAACTCTAAAGCTAGTGGGATTTTAGAAATCAGTTTGGTGGTGTTCTTATTTGGAGGGCTAATGTGGGCTGAACATTTGTGTCCCTCCCAAATTCATGCATTGAAATCCTCTCCCCCACAATAATATTAGGAGGAGGGGACCTTCAGAAGATTGCTCATAAGAGTGGAGCCCTCAGGCATGGGATTAGTGTTATATAAAGAAGAGCTGAGGGAGTTTGTCCTCTCCACCATGTGAGGACACAGTGGAAAGGTCCAGTCTATGAATCAGAGTCACCTTCCCTATGACACCTTCCCTAGATATCATATCTGCCCTGGGCTAGACTCCCTTCAGAATTGTGAAGAGTACAGTTATGTTGTTTGTAGGAAACTCAGTCTGTGGTGTTCTGCTCTCGCAGCCTGGTGACTAAGACTTACTAGCAAGGGGCATCACCCCCTTCAAGAATGAAGACCATAGTACTCTCCAAAGAAAGACACATACACACATGTTCAGTTTGGATGCAAATTCAGAAGTATTTGAACCCCCTATTGTAGTCCCTAGAGTTCTTCAGACAGGTTTAAGTCCCTTGCCCTGGTTCAATCTCTATTTTGAAAATGGGTAAATGGAGGTTCAAAATACTAAGGTGGTGCTCCCCCAACATCACACAGCTAATTAGAGTAGAGCCAGTTCACTAGCATCAGGGCCTGCAAGTGCCCTGAATGGACCTGGCTGCCCAGTCCTTTGTCTCTAAGAAGCAACCATCTGAGAGCTTCTCTCTGCTGCCTCTTTTCTCTGATCCCTGTAGCCCCAGCCAGAAAGGACCTGCGCTCCCTGGCTCACCACCCTCGAGCAGCCAGTAGCCCCCACTCTACTTACACCTAGGACACTTCTAAGGAAAACTGAGAAAGGGTCCCCTCACTGCAGTTCCAAGAGCTGCCTACTGTATCACCCACAAGTGTGAGCAGGACGTGGACCTGCGAATGGCAGAAATCTACACCTGAGAGAAGGAGCTGGACTTCACAGAACTCAGGCCCAGATTCAAGTTTCAGCTAGGGCACCTTATAGATGAACTGACATTTAATCTTTCCAAGCTTTGGATTCCTCATCTGTACAATTGGAATCACCCTACTTCATGGAGTTGGCCTCAGAATTAAATGAAATAATTTATATAAAATGCTTGACAGCATACTTGGTAATGCATTTTAGCTGTTGTCTCACATTGCCCAGGGGGTTCCAGGATAGTAGATCCTCTTTAGGATCCCAAATCCAGCTACTCATTGGAACCTTGAACAATGGATAAAAAGGAACATATTTCTGTACTTGTAGGATTTGCAGAGTATAAGAGGCTCCAGAGATGCACTCCAAAGAATTTGCTGCCATTAGCAGCTGCTGCCCATCACAAGTTGTGAGTGAGTTTGCCCCCTTTGGAGGCTTTTAAGACAAGGGGTCACCCTTCTGGAATGGCTGAGTGGCAGTCCCCCCAGAAGGCAGGGAGTAAGCCACAGGAGCTACCATGGCCATCTACCAGCAGGTTCCTCTGGCTGGATCTCAGCTGCTCCAATTCCAAAATCTAAAGCTGAAGCATAGAGGTGAGCAGACAAAGAGCTTTCTCCAAATGGACAAGAAGTATGAATCCTCCTACAGTTCATACCCTGAACCACCAGCATCCTTCACATTGCTATGACCACCTTTTGTGGACTGCACAGGTTGCAGAAGCACTCCAATCCTTGCCTCCAACCTGCACTGAAAATCTTGTACTCTTCATTGCTCTTAAATAGGCTCAGGAATGGCCAAGATTGACCCAGGTCTTTTCTAGTACCACCCATTCCTATCCCAAGAAATAGAAAACAGCTTATGAATGACTCATTGACCAGCTGCTGGGATAGGTAGGAAAAGATAGATCTGGTGAATGTCAGCTCGAGTCTGGATTCTTCTCGTTCTCCCACTGTAATCCTGAGCATGCACACACACACACACACACACACACACACACACACACACACACACACACACTCAGCTACCTTATGGTGGTGGGGCTACTAGGGAGATATCCCCAAATGGGGTCACCTCTCTGGGGCCCAGCTATGGATGTGCCAGATTTGAGCAGTCCCCAGCACGCCTTTTAGCAATCAGCCTCCCACCGGGCCAGGCTCGTGGTAAGTAAACTTTCATGTTCCTATTAAGTGATGGCTGCTTGTTCCAAATCACTCCCCTGGATCTGTTTGAAGCTGATTCACTAATCAAAGCTATCAGGCTCTCCTTCACCCCCTCACTGCCAAAAGGTTATCATTAAAGAGAAGAAAGGGGCTTTGGGTTTTGTGGCTGTCAGTTTGGATCTGGGGTTCCGAGGAAGTATCATGGCTTGAGTTTACCTCCCCGCCCCCATAACCTTGTGTTCAAATCCCAGCCCTGCTATTGGCACCTGAATGACTTGGAGCAAGTTATAGAGCCTCTCAAACCCTCAGTGAATGTTTCTGGGTGTTGTGGAATATGTATTTGATGAATGCTTCTTGGATAGCTAAGCCCTGCAGCTGTATCGGTTGCTAATAATTCCCAAGCCCAAAGCCCAGTTTCCACATTCTCTGACCTGTGTTCTAGTCCCTGACAGGGCCTCCAAAGACCTTCCAGGAGCTTTAGTGGCTCTTCCATAGGTATCTGTGGCAAGGACAGGATTGATAGAATCAAGGGCAGGATCCAAACCATTCCTTGCACTAAAGGGTCCCTTTGACCCTGTCCCAGAGATCGACTTCTGTGCGGACCTGCTCAGCGCCTCTGTCCCTTCTTGGTCCCTCAGGTCCCTGGACACAAAGTAGAAGAGTGCATTTAAGCTTTCTTATGTTACAGAAGCAAAAGAAACACTGGGCTAGGGCCTCTGTCTAGCTATATGGATAGCTAGATAAATAATTACTAAATAAATAAATAAGTGAAAATAAACAAAGAAAGCCACCAATGAGCTTGAATTGCTGCCATGCTGAGAGGTAACTGGCAGATTCAATTTAATTATAAGATACAGAGTTGTAATGGAGTATGGAAGGCTCAGGGAGGATTTCTGTAATGGGGGACAGCAGGGTTCCCTGCCTGTTCTGCCGGGCCTTCTCCTCACCCTGCCGCTCGCTTGCTTCTCTGCCTCACAGGTGGGCTGGGATGGGTGAGTGCAGCCAGCAACTGCCTGGCTTTTGAGCTTTCCTGGAGGTCGAGGGTCTCACCAAGCCCTTTGCTCCTTGCCAGCCTTGGCCCCCAAGGTGGGGATGCCCTGGAGGACAGTCCCAGCAGGGGAAAGTTACCAGCTAGGAGAGGTAGAGCAGCAGTGCTCTGCTTAGCCCATCCTCCTCCCACCCAGTAAGGTGTATGTGCGGCCAAGCAAGGCCAGTCAGGGCCACTGGGCTGCAGATGAGACAGCTGTGACGTGTCTTGGCTGGGCTGGGATTGTGCCATCATCTCGACCTCCTTCAGGTTGTGGTTTTCTACCCAGCTAACGGGAACCTGGCCTGCCCCCATCTGCACCAACCCCCTAGAAACTGCACACCCCCGCCTTCTCAAGGCCTCTTTCCTTCTCTCTGCCCTCCTCCCTGTACCCGGGGACAGCAGACATTTCCCTCCACCCCACCTTGTCCAGTGGCACACAGGGGGCTCAAGGGTAAAGGCTAAACATTCCTACCCTCCTACAGTGAGAAATTCTTATAGGACCTCCTCAGTTCATCACCTGTATTCACGATTTTATTTGGGCCATAAATGGGTGACAAGGTGTTTATATATAAGCACAACCTTAAACACAGCCACACGCTCGCTGCCAACCCACCCAGAACATGCAAGCACTGCCCACACTTCTCTCCCTCACTGCCCTCCCTGCCCGCTTCCCTGCCTCTCCCTCAGCCGGGCTCCTGTGAGGGCTTCTCGGTGCTCTGGACCTCCAGGCAGCGATGCCCATGACCATCAGCCTGCACGCTCTGAGGGACAGTCCCATCCACCCTGACTCTGCCGGTCCCTGGGCAGCGTGCACACCCAGACTGCATCCTGGGGACAGAGGACTGGGCCTGGGCTCTGGAACTAAGCTGGCCTGGGCGTTAATCCTGGCCCCTCCACTTCCAGTGGAGCAAATTCAGAAACAATGTTCAACTTCCCTGAGCCTCACCTGGACAGTGGGGCAAATAGTCCATATTCTCACTGATCTGTATGAAGACTAAAGCCAAAGTCAGGCTTATACGTACAGCCTCCTGCTTTGGCCTCTGACTCTGGACCTCAAGAGAACTACGGGGAGTAGGAGGAGGTATGTGGTGGCAGGGTAGGACTTTACAGACTCCCTTACTGTCCACATTGTTAGTCTTCAGGGGACTTTGTTGGTCCTGTTAGAACAAAAAAAGAAAAGAAATGCCCTCTTTCTGCCTAGACCCCTATCCGTGATTGATTGAATGTACCAGGCTGAGCATCCCCAGGGCAGGGTACTCCCTGTGGTGCATCTGGCCCCATTCAAACATTAGTCACCAACTTTCAGCTTTCTCTTAGGAAAAGTCTAAGAGCCTTCCAGGCATACAGCCCTCAGCAGCCGTAGTTCATCACAGGGTAAGTACACTTACCCATGGGGCAGGGGCTCTGAAGGGGCCTTCATGATCCTATTTCCGGTATGCTCCTCCATAGAGCAACTGTCCTATTGAGATTAGATATTTTAATTCAGAGGTGGGCTGAGGCATTTCTGCACATGTGATAGAATTGTTTCCCATAAAATTCTTCAGCCAACATTATTAAAACCACCCACCCTCTTCACAAAGAGATTACACTGATAATGCAAAGAACGTCTTTTATGACTAGTTTTCTGGTCTTAACACTCACGAGCTGTATGGCCCCAAGAACATTATTTAACCTTTTGGGTCCTCAGTTTCCTCTTCTCGCAAAGAGAGAATACCTTGTGGAATTTTTACAAGGATTAACAATACTAATGCATACAAAATGCTTAGCCCAGAGACTAATGAAGCACAAGCAATTAGTACCTGGCAACTTTAATTGAAATGGTGAATGAAGTGAGCTTGGCCCCAAGTAATTGCTAACCAGAGAGAAAGACAAGGCATGGCTGTATCTATCCAGCCCTCAAAGGGAAGCACCAGTGTCCCAATTTCAGTGTGCTGGGGTGCAGTAGACACTGCCAACCTTGGGGTCCTCATTGATGGCCAAATATCCTAGGGGAAGGGTATCCTGGACACCCATATCCAGGCTGTTCATTTGTTGAAAGACCCAGGTAGTGTCTAAGGGTACTGTCCAGTCATCCCAGGAAAGGAGAATGACAAAAGCCAGGCAAGGTCTCAGAGAGCTGGCCTGAGGGGCTGAGACTCAGAGCTGATGAGGAAATGTATTAGGCAGAGAGTGGAGCCAAGTGCAGCCCAAGGCACCACGCAGGGAGGCAGGCAGATAGAGCTATTCCGACTCCACTGCTCACCAGCTGTGGGGCTCTGGGCAAACTAAAATGTCAGTTTCTGGGCTGGGCATGTGACTCAGTGGGAGAACATTTGCCTAGTACATGGAAGAACCTGAATTCCAGCTCCAGCATTAATAATAATAGCAACAATAATAATGCAGTTTCCTTATAATAACAACCAAGATGACAATACCTACTTTTCATAAGTTTTTCATGAGCGTGCAACAAGGTGAGAGAACTTACATGCCCATTACTTCTCAGTCATTGTCAGCTTTGTTTGCTCCCCAAGACATACAGACTTAGGCCAGCAGAGCGGAGAAAGTGGAGAAACAAAAGGATTGATGACCACACTGCATCCAGATTTCCTGCAGGCACACGGGACCTGGGACTAATAGCAACACAAGCAATTCTAGACTCCACAGCTGGTGGTGAGGAGCTGTTGTTGATGCTTTCTGCCTGATTGTGCAGTGGATAGGGCTCTGCCAGCCAGAAAATGTCACAGTGGAGGCAAGCTGAGGAGGGCAGGGCTGGTAAATGGCTACGCAGGGGTCAGTCAGTCATTGCAATTGCTGTATGAAGCCACAAGGCATTGATTAGCAGGTGTCTGAGGGACACCTATCTCATTGCAGGAGTGAGGGAGGATGGGCTGGTTGTCACAGAACCTTTTTGGAATGGTCACAAATGACTGTCAATTCTTCCTAAAAGACAATAATGCAACATGAGCTTTTAATGTAATTCATTATTTTAAAAACTTAATTTAAGACCACAGCTGTTTCAAGTTTCTTTTATAAGAATTTAATTGGTATGTAATAGCATAGTTAATTAAATACAAATCAATAGTTTAAAACAACTAATTGATACTTAATATGAATGGGGGAAACAGTTCTAATATAATTAACTCACATTAAATAAACTATGAAATAGCAATTATGTCTTTACAACAATGTAAAGTTTATAGTTCTTTAATGAACTTAGACTAGCAAGCAATGAGACTCAAAAATTATGAAACAGGTATTATTGGGCTATTAAACATTTATTACTTGTCCTAGAGGGCCAGAGCCAGGTGCTACTCAAGATTAATAAACCTTTCTTAATCCTCACATCAGGTCCCTTTACTATAGAAGTTGATCAGAAAATGGTGATTGGAAAAATGATGATTTATGGGCATCATTATTGCTGGGATGTGAGTAATTACACTGAAAATAGAACTAGGTAGAACCAAGGCAGAATGCAAGGGTTTAGCAGAATCAAGGTGAAAATCTTCCAAGCACAAGACTCTAGCTAGCAGAAAGACTAGTGATAGACAATCTCCTATGACCCAACCATTGGACTGGACACCCAGCAGAAACAAGATTCCAGATATGTCTCCTGCCTTTGGGGTCCCTCACCATCCCATGGCCTGCAGCTCCAGCCTCCTTCTTTTGGACCCCAGCAGCGAGGACCACCACTCATGTGCCAGTAACTTACATGCTGCCTCATGACACCTTCTTTACTAAACTGTCACTTGTCTTGGACTTTCACAGTCTTCTCACAAGTATAGATTGAGCATTCATAATCCCCAAATTCAGAGTGTTCAGAAATCTGAAATTTCACATTCAGAAAGTTTTAGAGCATTTAAAGAGAAGGCAAAGAAGGAGAAATTTTGTATGTATGTATATACAGGATAGTTAACATAGTTGTTCTACTGTCTTCTATTTCTTTGCTGAAAGAAACTGTCAGTGAGTCCTTG